TATTTGCTCAGAATACTTCCATAATACACTAATAGCCCTCTCATATTTAGCTGTGATAATTAATAATAAATTTAGTGTGAAACATACACAAAATAAATCATGAGTACATAAATATAGGTCATAAAACATATAAAAATATGGACTTATTAGTATCTGTGTCACCAAATATTCACATTAAAATGGACGGTTGTGATCATTTTTTTTAAAATATAGAAAAAACTTGAAATAATTTTTTTTTAATCATGACCAGATCAAAAGTTGGTCAATTGTATCAATAACCCAAGAATTCTAAAAATACCATATGTATTAATGAATACCTCCTTTGTATTAAGAAAATAGTTGATACTCGTAGTTGTTGGGTCACCCATTAATGAATTAGAATACATACAAGTTATTCTTGGTGGTTTGTTTGATGAGTGTGATTCTATAGTCACTGCCATAATTTCTTGAACAAACTCATACATTGTGTTTGAGATTGAAGCAACAAGCACTAGTGTCTTTAAAGATTTTAAACTCTAGAAGTTCATATTACAAATTCAATCTAAAGAAATGTTCATAAAGTTTTTTTATAGAAGAAGATTAAGTTGCAAAAAGATTTAATGATGAATATTAGAATTGAGAACAACAAGAATAGTTGATTCTCACATTGCTCTTGGTATCTATGTCACCAATATTCACACCAAAATGGCAGGTTATAATCATTCTTTTCAAATATGGAAGAAACTTCAATTTTTTTTCTCAATCACAACCAAACCAAAAGTCATCCAATTGCATCAACAACTCAAGAATATTTAAAAGGTCACAGATAACGATGAATACCTAATTTATATTAAGAAAACCATTGATACTCTTGCAATTCTTAGGTCACACATTGATGAATCAAAATATATACAAATTATCCTTGATGGTTAGCTGATTTAGTGTCATAATTTTTTTTATTAAATCAACAATTAGTTAGTTTAGTTGTAAGCCTAAAAGTTATAATTCGCATATATATAATCTAGTGTGTGCAATCTAATTTCATACGATTGAATACATTTTTATTTTGCCTGAATTCAATTATTTGAGTCCTTATTCACAAATACATACTCCTCAAGTATCTTTTATGGTAATAGAACTCACTCCATCAAAATGGCTTCAAATTTAGTAATAGCTTCACAACCCATTTCAAGTACACATATGTTCATCAAATTAAATGAACTTTCTCACATGGAAGCAATAGGTTTTGGGAACAACCAAGGGGTTCACATTTCATATGTTTATCTCTTAAATAAAATCTAGTGGAATACCAAGAAAACATCTCAACAAATTAGACAGAATCAATGAGAATTACAAGAACTGAGAACAACAAGACTAATTGATCTTAACATAGCTACTAGCTTCCATATTTTCAAATCTCTACACCCAAATGGTAAAATGTGAGCACTCTTTCCAAATATGAAAGAAACTTGAAATTTTCTTTACAATTACAACTTAATTAACTATCTACCAATTTAACAAACTTAACTACTTATCAAAACTATTGGATGATTAATTGATAGTTTTCCTTCAAACTTCTTCAATTCAAACATAGAAAAAAAAAGGAAGAAAAGTTTAGGTGACTCACATGTATTACTTATATTAGTTTTGATGCATTTACATGGTAGAGTTAAATAATAAATATCCTCTTACACATGGGTGTGCTACAATTCAAACTAAACAAAGTAAATAAATATCTAGCACTTTAAAATAAAAATATCTCAAAGAATTAACATTTATAGCTCGAGCGATGGTGTCTTAGTATGTTTACTAAAATTTTTCTATAAGTTAATATTCATAATTCTAATTGGCGATGTAAGAAATAAATTTTTATATGAATTTTATTTTGAGTAATTTACATATATAAATATTATATTTGTCGATTATGTATGAAAAATTAACACAACAATGTGTTTAAATTGAAGCATCAAAGATGTACAAGAATGAATCAAATTAACAAAGTTATCTATAATATTGAAATAAAAAGTAATGTGAAAAGTACATATAGATAAAAATGACATTAAATTATTCAATAATGATATCCTGTAACATGTCAAAACTTGCTGTCACCCCACAAGTAGTAAAAGATGTAAGGATCCATGCATAAAATAACTCTTTATTTGTTTGATGATTATATAAAACATAAGAAATTTTAGCCATTTGCATCAAGTTTAAGCTTTCTTCTTATACACGTTCTCCACCGATCGCAGATACAAGAATAAGAGGTAAAAGTTGATTGTGTTCTTCAATGTAAATGCCACCAATCTAATATTAAAAATGTTTTGAAAGAATTTATTTGAACTTGTAAAAGTAATTTATATTTTTTTAACTTATTTCAGTAAATTTCAAAAATAAGTTTATCAAAATAAACCTTTTTAACTTATTCAAATTTCACAATCAAATAATACACGAGTTTATTGAATAAATATTTTAATTAAATTATTTACATAAATGCACCTCGAGTTGAAAAGCATGCCAAAGAAGAGACCTTTGAGGGACAGCAGTTGCCAAAAACTTCAAAATTAGATTAAATGGAGAAAAGTAATTGCATAGTAATTAACAAATATCACGCGAGGTAGGTATTTAATGACTTTCTCAATCCTTATATAGAAAATCTTACATGGCCAATATTTTAAATGGGGGAAAGCAAATATAACCAAACTCAAGCAAGTGTGGTTGCTGATTATACCTTATGAGTTGTTATGAGATAAATGGATTTCTTTAAGTGGTTGGAAAATGTTGGTGGAATTGTTCCCTTGATGCAATTTAAAGCTCAATCTAGGTACACTAACTATGACAAGTTGAATATAGATTGCTGGATAAACCCAGTAAAATTATTTTGGCTAATATTCAAATATTGAAGTTCAGTTAACTCAATTAGCATTTGGCTCAATCAACCAACTTCAGTCTGTACAATGAATTAACTCTTATGGCAACTCAGCATAGAAGCTGTTCTCATGTTTCTAACGTAATTGAGGGTTTCAATGCAAGAACCGCACATTCATCCGTGGTGCCGTTTTCTCTATTACTCGTTGCTAAGTAAACCAAGTAATTAGTTTTCTTATCTAAACCACCAATCGAGGCCTAAGTATCGCTATAAACATGAGAGAAAAGCTTGATAATATCCATATTCAATTTTAATGCAACTACTAGTTGATATTTAATTTTTTATAATATAATTATATAGGGCTTAGGGCCAATATAAACCTACTAACCATAGGACTTCAGAAAACACTAACATGCCATTTGCCATTTACTAGTTGAAAGAGTAAAAGAGATCATGATGGGTATGATATGCCCTGATCTTAAAAAGAAACAGTTCTAAATATGGGCGCCTTTAGAATGACATAAACCTACAAAGCTCTTTTGTATAAAGGATGGGGCAATCCTGTCCTGAGGCCGGAACATGTTTTTCTCTTGTGCATAATGTAAGTACAGTGTGTTTGGACAGAGCTCATAATGCTGTTGGATATCGACAACCACCTTCCTCACACAGGTAACAATTATTTTTAAAGAAAAGAAAATTATAAAAATAAAGCACAAGTGTCAATACACTGGATAAAACAGTTATATTTACTAAGCAAACTGCACAAAACAATTATATCTACAACTAATTAATTCTGTTGAAGGTTGTAATTATTAGAACATCATAAACAAATAATCGCCAGACACATAACCGAAAGGAAATGTAGGAAGATCACACAGTATATGGTGAAAAACATACTAAGCTGGCATATGATGAATAATGGATTAGCAGTCCATTTAGTACTTAGTATCCGATCTAATTTGGAAAAGGAATCTATATGGAAATCAAGTAGGACAGACAGCTCATATCCAACCATCAAACAGTAACACAGACCATAAAATTGGACCAGAGCCAGGTATCCCCAATCATACATCATTATTTTCCAGTTAGCAAATCATACCACCAACCATTATCTATTTGGGCTGCTGTCCCTCTATCCTAGTCAAGCTAAACACAATTTTCTCCTCAAGTTGTGCCCACAAATAATAGAGCATCACTATTTTAGCCATATGCAACACAACCTGAAATAAGTGTCATACTATTCAGCTATTTGGCCCCCAATATAATCACAAAGGTCATGTCAAACAAACTGCCTGTGAAAGACAATTTTTAAGACAACTGAAAGTATAAACTACTAGTCCTGAGGGAATTTTTAAATGATAGATATAAATAAACAGGAAAATTCCAAGGTTTTAATTTTTTTGTTTTTAATAAAATTGATTGGTAATTCGAATCAGAAGAAATCTGCATGAGACTTGGTTTTTTTCATGATACAAAAAAATGGTGTTTCGGTATACGGTTACAAGCTTCCACAAGTGAATGAAATATGAAATATGAGAACTGAGACTATCAGATATAGGTCTAGCAGAAAAAAATGCTGGTGAAAGACTCTTCTGCGGCAGAATACTATGCATGAGCTAATTTAGAATCTAGAAAGCAGATAAACACAATATTTTCCCAACTAACTAAGGCAAAAAGGTAGTCATTAATGCAATAATGCAACAAACAAATGAAAAGGCCAATTTTGAAAGTCAGCAGAGTTGCGTTATCAATGAGAAGTGTGGAAAACAAAAGCTTATTAAACAAGTAACATAAATCTTCAAAGTCACCTCATGCACCACCTCCAACTTTTACTCCAAGCAGCTAAATATGCGGTGTTGAAACCAAGCATTCCGCTATAAACATGCACACAAGCAATTGGTTTAATGACTCTCGTTCCCCATTTTTCTTCTATTATGGGGCACCGTATACATATATATCATCATCATAATATAACAATTTTTTAAAAAAATTTCCCATCTTTGTTTTGTTTTGGCAGTTACATTTTCATTCTCTTTCCTTTTCCGTCTTGAACCTACTCTGTAACCAATGTATAATAAATAATAAATATATTAAACAAGCCCTCAACTCAAATTATCAATCTTCCTAACCTAAAAACCTGAAATCAAAATTTTCTTTAACGACAACATTTTGAGCACATAATTAAGAAAACAATGAGAAAGACAATGGAAGAAAGCGCAATTGCTACACCAAGAACGAACTTGTTAGGCCCATGATGGTGATCTTTCTTGTGCTTGCTACCGTCTTCATCACTGTCATCATAGTCCGAGTCACTGCCATCATCCGCAGAAGAATCCTTCGCAGGTGGAGACACTGGCATTCCATACTTATCACAGGGAGAAATCCCAAGCTTCAATTTTGAAGACACCACCGAATGGTTATAACACAAATTACTATTCCCACCGACCTTGAACACTGCTAATCTGTTTATGAATGTGGCATTGAAAGGCACAACCCCACGAAGATTGTTGTTAGCAAGATTCAAGTACTTGAGGCCCTTCATTTGAGAAATGAACTTAGGAATAGTCCCATTGAGCTGGTTTGAGCTCAGATCCATGTGAACCAAACCCGGCAAAGCAGAAATGGAATCAGGAATAGACCCAGAAAAGGAATTTGAAGCCAAAGACAAGTTTTTTAACGAAATCAAGTCCCCAATGGAAGCGGGTATTTCCCCACTGAGTGCATTAGAGGAAAGATTCAAAACTTCAAGGCTATCAAGCATGGTAATGGAAGTGGGTATGGTTCCTTTGAGCTGATTGGCAGAAAAATCGAGATGGGTAAGGTTGGAATGAAGGTGTCCAGGGAGAGAACCAGTGAGATTCGCATGGGAAATGGTCAAAGATTTGAGCTTGTTCATGTGACCAAGAATGACATAAGGACCAGAGGCTTTGACTTGGACACTGGAGACAGTGAGATCGGTGAGGTTCTGAAGCTGAGAGAGCCAAACGCCAGAGACCTTGCGGAGGCTGTTGATGCAGGTGAAGGATGTGAGAGAAGCTATGAGTTCAGGAGGGAAGCGAATGGGGGCAACAGGGCAATTGAGAAGCTGAAGGGAGTGAAGGGTTGAGAGTGATTTGAGCGCTGTGAAGGAAAGAGCAACGTAGGAAGAGCAGTTTGCAAGGCGCAGAGAGATGAGGTGGCGAAAGGGTTTGGAGGAGTCACAGAGTGTGGCATTGTGGAAGGATGGTTGAGAACATGGATCCTTGGATGTGGGAATGTTGAGAGATTGAAGAGCTATGACTTGTTTGGGGTCAAGAGTTGAAGTGGAAGGAGAAGTCGGTTTTGATGATGGTGTTGGAGAAGATGTGGGAGAAGGGGTTGGGGGTTGAGGTGTAGAGAGAGATGTGACAATTGTGGGGATGAGAAGGAGAAGGTGAATGAAGAGAAGTGAAAGGGGGGATGGTGGTTTCATGGCTCAGCAGTGGTCAGAAATAAACACATGTGATGAATGATGATATGCAGAACAGAACACAAAAGAAAGAGATTTAGATAAAATGTTGGGAGTGTAATGTGGGATCTGTAAAATGGAGAGAGAAGCATGAGATTAGATACTGCAGAGAGAAATGGTGGCACAGCTAGCATAGCATATACTAATAATATTACTTATAGAAATAGCAGAGATAGATAGGATTAGCCATTAGGAGTGTCCTCTGCTGTGACAGTTCACAGTAGGGATGCGTTTGTTCCCTTTGATTTGGAGATATTTACAGAATTGCACCTCTCATTTTAATTTATTTTAAAAGAACAACGGTCAAAATGACAAGAATAAACACTCCTCAGTCCTCACCCTCCATTTATATATAAGCTTGGGGGGGTATACGAGGACACATTCCCATGTTCTTGAAAATTAGTTTATTGTCCCGCATATTTTTTTTTATATATAAAAATTTAAACTCAAAATTTTTAAGTGATACGCTTGACATTTGGATAAATCTTCGTTAATTCTCGTATCATAAAACTGTGAATTATTCATTTCACCTCTTAAATTCTATGTAACTATTATTTATAATAATGTCTAACTTTATAAAAATTATTTTTTTTACTTTACTCTTTGTTGTTAATAAAAATATAATGAAAAAAAGATGTATATGAAATTTAATATTAAAGTACTTTTTTTTGAAAAATTATAACTTAAAAGTAATTAATACTTGTAATTTCAATAAAAAGAAAAAGAAAAATACAGAACAACGCAATTGAAATAAAACACGAATTGATTGAAACAAATATCAATGCATGACGGTTTAGAGGCTTAAAAAGCACTTGCTAGGGACCATAATGGGCCACAAACACTTATCATGCACGCCAACAATTAGCAGCCTTCGTAAAGACTTAATATTATAAATGATTTATTGTACTTTTTTTTACTGAGCAAAATATTGAGAGTGTGAATTGAATTTCATTTGGTGTAGAAACGATCGTTCTGTTGTAGCTTGATGTGATGTATTAATGGTAATGTAACCTTTATTCTTATTGTGATGTATATTTTGATGTAAAATTTATAATTGCAATTAATTTGATTTTTTAATTATGTTTAATAATTTAAAATGAATTTTATTGAAAAAGTTGTTGGGACTTAAGTGAACATTTCAAAAAATCACGGTATTTAAATTTAATCATATTTTTTATGCGAAAATCCAACCTAATATAATGATTACTGAGGTTTTTCGTATGCTTCTGTAGTGAAAATGCAGTGTTTTACTTCTTCAAAAAATGATTTCTCAAGTAGTTTTTCATTAAGAACAGAAACATTAAAACGGCAAAAAAAAGTACATTATTTATTATTTTACATACACAAAATTGTAAATTTGACTAACTTTCTTTTCTTTTTTCTTTTACTTCAATAAAATTACACAAGCCGATAAAATAATTAACTAAAAATAACTTTTAAACTTAGGAATTATAAAAATGTCAAACATACTTAAATTTAACTTTAAAATAACTTTTACATTTTAAAAAAGTGAAACCAACTGTTGCCTAAGTATTAATGTTAATGTTCTATTGCATGAGGGGAGTTGTTGGATTCAGCTGTTCATACGTGGGGTTCCCAATACCCTTTTTAGTTATTTCAGTTCAACCTCTAGTGGATATCTTTAAACTATTAGCTTCATCTTTAACATTTTCTGGTCATTGATAATTTGACTTCGTTATCATGTCAACAACAAAGGGTTTCACTTTCAGCCAACAAGGGAGAGAGTGTGAAAAGGGAAAAGGAAGAAGCAATTGATTGGTAATTTTAGGTTTTTTAAGAAACCCTCACAAGCTACGTCAATACTGTTACACTATGACATGCTAACTTGTAATTGATGTTTTGCTGTCTCTTATGCACAAATGGGTATAGCGTGCATAAGCAAAAAAAACTTGCTCATAAATCCAATTATCCAAAAATAGGGATTAGAGCATCCATTTTTATGGTACTTCAATTTTTTTTCACCCCTATTTTTAACGAGAAATATTCCCTACTTCTTTTCCTAATCCATGCAAAGATCGTTGCGTAATGGGTTCATAAAATTTCTTGGCTGAGTAATCAGGTTTTGCTTAATTAATTGTGATTATGTGAGATGACCGGTTAAATTTGACTAAATGAGGAAATAGAATGCAAGTAGGATGAGAGCAATGTTTATTAGATAATGGCTTAGAAACTACTTCAACTATTATTATGTTTGTTGCAATCGGTTGGAATTTAATTTGTGATGGGGAAATCAATTATTTCTACTCATTTGCCCTAAAATTCAGACAGACCAGAAAAAGAGTATTAGTCTATTTGAAGATGAGTAAATGATTTTGATCATGCATGATAAAGTGTAGTTTCTCTTAATATTTTATTTTCATATACATAAATAATAAAAAACTTAATTATCTGTCAATTATGTAATATTTTGTTTAAGTGGATTGAGAATGAGAAAAATCAATTAAATCATACCAACTCTTGTTTGAGAAAATTATTCTTGTTAACAAGTTACTTTTAACCTATAGGCTGACATTTATCAAACTAAAAAGAACTACATAGCAAAGTTCTTTAGAACTGTTATTTTCTAAAAATATTTTATAATTTATGGTTTGTTTCTTAATAAGGAAATCTCTAATTTATGGCCTATTTATTTTAATGAAATGATTTTTATTTTTATTTTTCATTTTGTTTTTCAATTACAAAAGTGTTAACTTATTTTTATTTTATTTTCAAGGATTTTTTAAGAAAATGATGAAAATAACTTTTTTTTATTATCCTTATTGTGTCTTATATAAATATTTAAAAAAAATAAAAATAGGATATTAATTTTATAACTAAAAAAATATAAAATATTTTCTCAAATCAAACAGTTCTTTAACTTTTCATTTTACTAGTATTAATCTAATGTTTAAAATTTTTGTTTTAACAAACATAAATCTATTTTTGACATAATACAAAAACCGCCTTAGTCCATTAATTAATTTTCAACAGTATATTCTTCTTAAAATAAGATTCATTTCGACTTTAAAAAAAAAGTTCATTTACTTTGTCAAACATATTAATTACGCCTTTCCCTTGTGTAATTTTTGTGGTCCATTTTGGAGCCAACCATGGGTTACAGAGTACTTGCAGTGGAACCATGACTTGGTGAGGAGGAAGATGCAAAATGGCCTTTTTTGTTTTTTCCCTTTCGGGTACTCCAAAGATAGGATGTTGACCAGTGTAAATCAAGGATTATTGGAACGCTGAGTGAATGACATTGACATCAACAACTAAACAAAAACTTTTCATTCTTGTTTTCTGGGGTGCAGAAAAGATCATTATAAGTTAAGGGGAAAAAAAACCAATGCAGAGGATCTCAACCATTGAATTTAATAAAAAATATTTAAAAAATAATAAATATGATAATGGATAGTTATAATTAAAACTGGATCTGATACAATAAAAAGCTCTCTGCAGAGTGCAGAGGAAGAAATGATAGGTCAATTTCCGTGAATAGAAATAAATCTTCTTTAGTGACAATTTTATTATATTAAATATTATATATATAGCTTGTATTTAAAACTGCATTGAAAAATATACTTGAGAGGATCCGGTGAGTTGCATGTTACAAAGCAAAGTGATGGAAATGGAAATAGTAACAAAAGGAAAAATGTTTGATAAGCACTTCCTTTCATTGTCTTATATAAAAAAGACAGATATAATAAATGAAGTGACGTGCATAAAAAGAGAGATAGGTGTTAAATAAATGTTCATCCTGTTTAGGTGTTAATGAATCAAAGTTGTAACGGAAAAGACGGATAATAATCTGTATGTCAATCTTTATTTCCTCTGTATCATTCCAATGTTTAAACAGAAACAAAAATCACTATTTTACATTGATGTAATCAGCCAATGCTTGATCTTTACACAGGAAACTCGTCCAATGCATGGGGAAAAAAAAGTAACCACGATTTTTGACACCTTACTTTTAAAATGCCTACACATTTCAACAAAGCTCATATCTTGCACACTGTGGCTTAAATCATCATAATCATCATTATATCCATATTTTTAACATATGATCAAAACTTTTGGTAGGCATCATCTTAGTGACTTAACAATCTATAGAAATGCAGGTCTGAGAGATGGTTGAACTGTCAACTCTGCTAATAAATGGGTTAATCTTGACCCAAACAAGAGAGAAGACAGAGGCCAACAACACTGACCACAGAATAACAATGGTTGGAGTACGGTTTTGGCGACCCATTAGACCCTTTAGGAACGGGTAGAGATGAAAAATGACCCAAAAGGCAAAGAAAACCTTTCCAAAGAGTGGTCCCCAAGACTCATATCCTCCATTTAGTGCATCAGAAAATCCAGCAACAACACCAACTATGTTAATAACGATAAGGGTTGTTGGAGGAATTAAGAGTGTAGTCCACTTGATCATATATAGTTCACCAAACTCCGTGTCATCAGCAGCTTTGGCTGTGACAGTGAAGTTGGTGTCAACACCAGCCAACATCTTGAGGAATCCTTGAAAGACAGCAAAAAGATGGGCTGAAACTCCTCCAATCACCCAGAACTGTTCATTACGCCACAATGCTTCTATGGTAACACCACTCCACCGCAGCTCAAGCACACTAGTGATTATAATGGAGAGGAAAAGTCCAAGAAAGAGGGCACTTGCCAGGTTGGAAAGCTGCATCAAATTAAAATGTGTTACAAAATGCAATGCCTTAGTGTAAAATGACCTTAATTTATGTACTGTTCTATCTGTTGCTTTAAACTGTTTTCATTGGTTTGTGTAGTTACACATAGTCATTTATATTTCATATATGTGACATTTGTTGGATTTTCCTTATGGATTGAATGGATTAATAACAAATATATCTTTTTAACTATCAATTTTATGCCACAATACAGACGAGGAAATTACCGTTGGTATGATGAATTTTCCTGTGAGAAGGCATATTGCAGGCAAACAACAATATGCAACAAGAGGAAGGGATGTAAAGGGGTAGACAATGGTGTTGATATAAGCCAGTCTCTGCAGCCATTTGAGGCGACCTCCTGCAAAACCATACCAGAGAGGGCAGTGTCTACTAAGGAAAATTTCAACTGATCCAAGGGC